GAAATAGTTGCAGATAATGGCAAGGTGACATGCAATGTTTATAGTATGCTGCCTTCAGTACAAGAAAGGAATAAAAATTATAATATGTATTTAGATTCTCTTGAGTGTGCATAAATAAACACACAAAGGATTTTCTTAAGTGATTACGAGACTGTAAGCAACAGCGTAGGTGGAGGCAGGTAGGGAAGCTTCTTACTATTTGCTTTTTCATTGTTTTAATTCCTGAACCGCATGTATTCAAAATAATAATAAAATAATAACACAACTCTGAAAAAGACATAATTTTCATTATATTGATCAACTGCTTAAAAACAAGACAATTTAAGAAAAAAAAAAATACCTAGAGCAGACCCCGCTGCAGTGTGTTGGGCTCGGAAAAGCCAAAAAAGTATTTCATGAACACGGACCCATGCCACACCCTGGCCCAACAAGTGCTGCATGTACCATCGTGTTCTTTGGGACACACACACACGCACACGCACACACGCACACACGCACACACTGTGTGTTGAGTGGAGAATCGCTCCTCTCAGTCTCTTCACAATCCACCTGTTGTGCAGGGCCAGCCGAGGCTCAGATCTCACAGGCCGCATGGGTCACTAGGACTCAGCCACGGGGTCCCCACCCTGGTGCTCAATTGCACCTGCTAAGGTGCAATCTGTTTTACAGGCCCTAAATACAGGGCCCCTATGAGAGGCTGGACTCAATAGCCCCTTTCTATTGTGTTCATTAAAAATCCACCACAGTGGCTGACTCACAGGGAAATTGCCCACTCTCCTCTCTCTTTCTTTTTCCTTCTCTCTTCCTTCTTTCCTTCCTTTCTATTTCTTCTTTTATTTTTCTTTAATGCCAGAGAGTGCATGCATGAGAGAAAAAGAGAGACAGAGACAGAGAGAGTGAACCCCCCAACAGGGCCTGGTCACAGCACAATGCTTTTTCCTCCAATTCTCCATCCTGTTAGGATCTGGGCACACACACACACACACACACACACACAACCTGCTTCTTTCTTTTCCAGCCACAGGGCCAGGACTTGAAGCCTGGTCAGCCGTCCTCCTCTGCACAGTGCCTAACCACTACACCATGGGGCTGGCCCCCCGCTTGTTCTGATGAGAGCTAAATTCTAAGCGTTGCTCAGGTTCATATCCGATGTTTCCATCTCCTTTCTCCATTGGCGGCACACACTCACCATGGCAACGCTCAGGCCCCTTTCTGGAAACCCTCCTCCTTGTTTAATACTCTTCAAAGAAAAACCCATCCAAGCTGATCAGTGAAAAGGCACTTATTAAATACCCTTCCCAAAGTTAAAACATCTTAACAAGGAGCTGTTAAAGGCGAATGTGCAAAATTGTGTTTCCCCGAGACATGTGCTAAATTAGGTTCAACATTAAGCTTGCACTGAAAAAGCACCTTACGCTTACCCAGCACATGAAAAGGTCAGAACGCTGCCCCTCTGGGGGCCCGCACACAAAAGCTTGGGAAATGGAGGCTGTGGTTTCCTGGGCCCAGGGCACATGCGCGCATATGGCACCCCAAATTGTTCTTGCTGCTTTATAGTCACGCTCTGTGAGCTCTGGCTAAGGCATATTTGCTATACTCATTAAGAGAGAGAACACTGGAAGCATTTAACATAAAATGCCCTGCGATTTTCACAATCATGAGAGTTTCCAGCGGGCTGGAGAGAAAGGGCTTTTCTTGCTAGAATAAGAAGGGAAACAAAAAGGAGAGAAAGCCTCCTAAAACACAGAAAAGATGAGAGGGTCTGGATGACGAGGGCCTGGATGCTCTTTTGTTTGTTGTGCTGACTTCCACCAAGCAAGATTTGTTTCTTCTTCACCTCCATTTCCAGTCCTGTGTTTTGCGGGTGTCACTGGTGGCAGTTTGGAAGCCCATTGCCTTCAGTCCAAAGCCATGCTGCCGCATAAAATGTGAACGCTGTTCAACTCAAGGCACAAACGCCCGTCTGCGAGGCTCTGGGATCAGGAGGGCTTACGAGATGAACCAAGCCAATCTGCTATCAAGGAGAGTCTCAGTTTTCTGATCATTGAGGCTGGAACTTACAGAACAAAATGAAATCATGCCGAAGCTTAACTGACCCTGATTTGAAAGGAATATGATAGGTTGGGAAATGAAGGGTCTTGATTCTAGGATCCCAAGCCTATATAAGAATGCTTGACTTAGAAAGATAAGGTTCTTGTTTTCTTCCTAATTATAGAAGCCTCTATTATGACAGCACGTAATTATATAGGCATGGCCATTCCAGAGAGCAAGTAATCTCTGCTTACAGGTAACAACTACAGAAACAGCACGTTATGGTTATCTGCTGTACACCTACAATCCCGGCTAGTGACATTAGCATTAACGTGGGTAAGTGAGCTGGCAAAAACTTTCTTATGAGGGGGAGCCATAAGATTATTTCAGCATTCAGACCCACAGTGAGGAGTGCAGTCTCAAAACACAAACCCATATGGATAAATCACGCACAAGAGTTAGTTGGACAAGCCTTACAGCTTAATCTGATGTCACTCATTACACACACAGACCAGCCCTCTCCCAAAGCAAATAAGACTCTCCCCTGTTACTCACCTAGACTACCCTGACAAATGTCAGTGCGCGTGGCTCCACCAATGATAAACTGGGGGCTGGGACACAATTCCTGAAAGACAAAACACAAGCCACAAGAGACTCAGTGATAAAAGCAACATGGGTAAAGGAACAGCAGAGTTACAGAATCAGACCTGGAAGAAACCTAGGAGATCGCTTAATGCACCTACATCATTTTGTTGTTGAGTACTTTGAAGCCCAGAGAGGGGAGACCTGCCCATTGTCCCACAGACAGGGGTCAACAGAACAGGAGCTGGCACCCAGAGCCCCTGTGGTGACGGTGTTTTCATCACTGTATGTATTGTGTGGGTGTGAAAAGAAGGTGGGACCTTAGAGAGGGAGGAGAAAGGCAAAGGCTGAGATAATAAGGTGATGAAATACATTCAGACAACACCCCTATTTACACAGAGAGGATTAGAATAATGCTTAGCAAAGTGCTAAACCTGTGACACTCTAAATACTTGACAAAATGATAATGACCCCATGTACTGATGGAAACGCTGAGGTGTCAGGAAGTACCTTGTATCACAAGGGGAGAGCTCAACTCCGATACATTCACATAGTTAACCTGCACTTCTTCCCAGTCCGGCCTCTGCCTACATGCAATCTCATGGCCCTAGAGCCCTGTAGGGCACAATGAGGCATGCTTTAGCCTTCTTTCTTCATTTGAGAGCCCATTCTGTACACCATGCTGTTTAGACCATGGCAGGCAGGGTCAGGAAAGGAGCATGGCAAAATGAAGGAAGAAAGGAAGTAAAACTCATAGTTCTTGGCCACAACCCCTTCTCCTCCAATTCTCCATCCTGTCAGGATCTTACACACATGCACATAAGCACCAGTCACTAGGGCCAGGACTAGCAAGCTGGTTGGCATGTGGCCTCACTTCCTCTGGACAACATTTCACCGCTGTGTTTTAGGGTCGCCACCCGCTCTCCCTGCAACAAGGTCTTGATGCTGCAATCCAACCGCAGCCTTCAGCCAGCCCTTGATTGTGGGCACGCATGTGCCTGGCATACTCAGGGAAGTCTCAGGACTGGAACTCAGAACCTTCTCAAGTGGTATTTTGCCTCACAGAATGTCTTGTTTTATTGCTATGCCACTGTCTGGCTCCCTTACTTATTCCTGATTTTCTCCTCTTCTCTCTAAATATTCTTCTTGGTCTCTTTCATGGGTTCATCTACTCTACTCACCCCTAAGAATCAGGGAGCCCCTGGACTTGGTCTTCTAGTCTCTGCAATGATCCCATTTCTTACAGCAATCACATGCCTCTAAGTATTCTCTCTTGGTGACATCACTGAAACCCAAGGCTCCAGTTACTAATCAGTGCATATGTTGATACATCCAAAATAGCTCCCTGAGCTGTAGGTTCAATCACCCATGCCACACTGATCATGGGATATACACTCATTAGATGTGTATCTAAAGAACCAACCAAGTTCTGCTAAATTGTTGAATTTGAGTTGGAAGACAGGGTGGTTGGCAAAGGCTACACACTATGGAAAGAGCTATATTCAGAATGGTGCTAAGTGGTTTATAGGTTAGAATGTTTATTTTAGTGCATGTGATTTATTAGCATTATTCAAAGTGCACTCCCCAACTCCTTGGGGGAGGGGGAGGATAAGATCAAGATGTTGTATGAGTTTATCAGACGCCACAGAAATTTCTCAGCTTTGCAGAGACTGCATCTCAGCATTACATGGAAGAACTTGACCAGTCTTCTCTCCGTTGCCAATCCTGTTGGAACTCACATCAGAGGTAAAAGTCACAATAATTGGCATCCAAAGATAATTGAAAGAGGCAGACCTCTGTGAAGAGATGGGCTTCCCTTTGTCCACACTTGGAACTCACTTTTCTTTCTTCTTAATAACATCATGTCTTTTCAGTAACAACATTCTCTATTACTCCAAAAACACATATTACTCAGGCCTCGTATCAGCCTCTGACGAATGGGTACAAGGGAAATGATATCCATGAGGATCGAAGGCAGAAAGTGTGTAACATCACATGTTCTTAGTGGTGAGGGCTACTTGGAAACATCACCCTCCCAGGGTGGTTAGACCAGACTCGATGTCTTGGTCTGGTATTTCAGGAGGTCTGACTATGCACGTTCAGGAAACCCAGTAAGGCTGCCATCTTCATCACTATTGCTATTGAGTATAGATAGCCATGTTGCTTGGCCCAGCACTATTGTTCCTCTAGGATCTGGCTGTAGGGAGTGGCCCAAATCTAAGCAAACATGGCGACCTTTAGACACATGCAGAAACATGGTTCCATGTTCTGCAGGCCAATGAATGCCATTAACATGTGAATACACTAGGTACCTCTGTGTTTCAAAACTGCAGAGCAGTTATCAGGTTAAAGGAGTCTACATGTGTTAATCAAAATCAGCCCAAGAAGATTAGAGAAAACTTACATAGAACTACATGGTGCCAGGTGTCTTCACATCTTCAGCCGATTAACATCTGAAAACAACTGGCTTTGCATTCCACGTCCCCTCCCCCCCTTTTCTACCCTTCAAAAGAATAGGGACCAGCAGTTAGTGTAATGGCTATGTCGCTGGACTCCCACGTAGTCAACTACGGTTCGCGTCCTGAACCCGGTGGCTTAAACTCACGCCGGGCGCATGTGCTTGCATCCCCAAGATCCCGAGAGGAGAATGGAGGAGAAGGGATTGCGCTGTGGCCATCCCTCCTGGGGGGTGATTTCTTGCTTCCTATCTTTCTGTCTCTCTCTCTCTCTGTGTCTGGCAAGCGCACACGCCCTATAGCAAAAACCTCTAAAAATAAATAAATAAATAAGTAAACCTGGGAATAGTTCAGTGTCATGGCTGCCTCCGTCAGAGAAATTGGGACCACAAGATCCTCAATTTCCTATACTTGTATGTCTTTGTGTGTTTATTTCTATGTTTATTTTCAAATCCACACCCACACCCACCCACCCCACCAGATCACGCACTCATTTAGCCATGCAGGACATGGCAACTGGCCCCATTGGACATTTCTATTGTGACTTCATCTCCCTGTTTCCCTCTCCTCCACTACAACTAATGGCTTCCTTTCTCTGAATACATTTACTCTGAATGTGCCTTCACAGCCCAGTGCCTTTGCTCACGCCTGCGCCTTCTCCTTGATCTCTTTCATGATGCTCTTTCTCCACCAACCCCAGCTCAAATGTCTCCCGTATTTATGACCAATTCCGTAGTCATTTTCACCTGTTTCTTCCCCTGAGCTCCCATACATTTTGTTCATATGTATATTTCATCCTCTGCAGAGTCTGTCTTGTGATAATAGCTAAGGACAATTCATTGTGTTTACCCATTTTCTCATTCAAGCCTCCCCAATAACCAGTGAAATAGGAACTGTTATTCCCATTCTATAGATGAAGAAACTGAGTCTTGGGAAGGTTAGCAACTTCCCATGGTCATTCAGCTAGTAAATGGCAAAAAGGGCACTGAACCCCTGATCTACTTCATACCAAGTTCATATTCTGAACCACTCTGCTATCTGGCAGTTGTCTACCTGCCCATTTGTCTCTGTCTTGACTAGCTGAAGCTCCACACTGATTCACTGATTCAAGGAGGTAGCAGCAGGAGAGAGTGGGCACCCACCCCTCGTTCTCATCTTTATCTCCCAGCAATTCAACCTTCATGTTTCTCTTAACTCTCCTCTTATTATGCAGCTGACATTGTCTCATCCCTCTCTATATATATTTCTCCTTAAGATCCATAAACTGCTTAATTGCCAAAAATGGACACTTCAAAGAAGGATATCATTGATTGTGCTGCTCCAGGGCCCACTCACACTAGGAATTTCTCAAACCAGAGGAGCCTGGACTGGACATTGACCCAGTGCAGTGAGGAAGCCAGAAAAATGAGGGTGCAGAAATGCATCTGCTAAGAGTACTCCCTGGGCTTCCTGGGCAGGCTCTGTGGCACAGTGGTGATGAGCTGGTCAAGAGAAGTAAAATCCCATATGGTGACCTTGGTTCAAATCACCAGCCTGGTCAGCCTGAATCATGCTGAACATGCTCACAAGTAACAAGATCCAAGGAGCTGGCTGTCTAGAGAAGGGACTCACAGTGTGACCACACATGTGGAGGGTCTCTCACATCTTTCTCAGGTGTGCACATATGTGATCGATAATGAGTAAAGGAAAAAAAATCTTTTTAAAAAATAAAAAAAGGATACTTCCTGATCTTGTATAAACAGTCATTTTGTTTGTGATAGGATTCTTGTTCTTGCCCAACACTAGTAGGGGGAAATGCCTTAGGAGTAGGAACAGTCAAAAGTTCATCCCAAGATCCCAGACTTGACCTAGAGACCTTTATCTGGGCAAACTTGTCTTCCAACTCTTGGGACAAGAGCCCAAGCAAAGCTTTTTTCTCACAGCAGTTCCTCAAAACCTTGAAAAGAGGGAGCCAGCAGGTGTCATAGTGGTTAAGGTGCTGGACTCCCACATGGTCAACCACGGTTCAAGTCCTAGACCTGGTATCTTGAAACTCAAGCTAGGCATGTGTGCATGTGTGCTCAAAATCCTGAGAGGAAAATGGGGAAGAGGTTGCAGCATGGCCATCCCCCCTTAAGGGTGATCTCTCACTTTCTGTATTTCTGTCTCTCTGGTAAGCACATGAACCCTGTATCAAAAATCTCTTTAAAAGAAATTTTTTAAAATATAATTGCCATATGATGCACCAATCCCACTCCTGGGTATATAACCAAATGAATTGAAAGCAGGATCTCAGGGAGATATTTGTACATCCGTGTTCCCCTCAGCATAATTGCGGCAGCCAAAGGGTGGGAGCAACTCCAGTGCTCATCAACGAATGAATGAACAAAACGTGGTATGTACAAGCAATGCAATACTGTTCAGCCTCACAAAGCAAGGAGATCCCGACACATGCTACAACATGGATGAAATTTTACACATATGAGGTATCTAGCATAGTCAAATTTATAGACACAAAATAGAACAGTAGTTGCCAGAAGCTATTAGGGAGGGAGAAGGAATGGGGAGCTGTTTAATGGGTATAGAGATTCAGTTTTGCCAGTTACAAAAAAGTTCTGGAGATGGATGGTGGTGATGGCTGCTCAGCAATGGGAACATACTTAATGCCACTGAATCATACACTTAAAAATGGTTCCAGGAGTAATATTTTATCACAGTGAAAAAATAAATAAATGTGGCAAGTGAACTTAGGCACCTCATTTCTTGACACCCCAATCTGCTGCATGCCTCTGGGAGAAAAAAAATTAAAGCATTTTAGTAAGGCTGATTTTCCCAGCATACAATGCAGATCGCTGACAGAGATAGAATCAGAATCTTTACCAAGTCAGGAGTCTGTTCAATTGTCTGTAAGATCCTAGATGATAAGGCTGTATCTTCTCATTGTGATAGTGAGCAGGAGCCTGGCTGAAAGCAGCCATGTGGTCATTCTTCACTGACGATTGGGAATAGAGAGGTTAAATGTTGACAGATATTTATTTATTCAACGCGCACTTGAAAACTCCAAATAGGAGTCCTTCATTTACACAGTAATTAGGTTCCTCTGGATTTTATTGCCTCCTCTGACAGGCACGAATCAGCATCTCCGATCTAGTTCCATGGACAGAAAGACCAGGTAAAGACACTGCTTTGAGAATGCACAATCCTTTAAAAATTGCAAAGGAGAAAAACTAGGTAAAAGTGAGCAGGGTCACTAAATAAAATATCCTCCCCCTGCTCATTCTCATCCTCACCCCTCATCCCCAAGCTTCTTGGACTGTCCAGCTCCTCTCTTCCCCTAAGTCTTCTCATCAGTGGTAACATCCCAATCATTTATGCCTCTGTTGAGCACTTCCTCCATTCTGCCCCGGGCATCAGGCCTTCATGCACACTCTGTCTCCCCTCCATTTCCATCAGAGCTGAGACCATGCTTGTTCCTCAGTTTCTCCCTGACCTTCTCAAACAGTGCAGAGCCAAAGCCTAGCACAGAGGCTCAAAAAACTATCTGTTGGGATGAAATGTGACTGTCAGTACTTGAAGTTAGAGAATAAAGCCATGATTCCCAACCTTGATTTGATCAACATGCCAGGCTAACCCCGTAGGTTTCAGAGGGGATGAGGAAGGTAGACTATGGCAGGTAGGAGAGAGGCATGGCAAAGGAGTTATTCCCAGAGGGGGAAACTGTTGGACCAAATCAATAGGATGAAAACAGAAAGAGTAGAAACAGTCAGCGTTAAACCATTTTCAAAAGAGTATTCTCTCCTTAGCTTCCCTTTCCAACCACTGCCAAGAAAATGGGAACCATGACTTGATTTTCCCATCATAGTTTAGAAGACAAAAGGAGCTTTGGCCAAGGGCCACTGAGCATGTCCATTTAACAGCCCCTCTTCCAAGGCTGAACTTCACATGGACGATCTCAGTTCTCACAACCCCTCTGTGTGGAGGAGGTTCTTATTCCTGAAATTTGATCGTGACCAGGGTCAGATGTGATAGGTCCTGGGCCTAGGTTTTGAAAGGATAGTTGGCCATCTCCTCCCTTTGAGCTTTGGGAGGCATCAATGGCAGCACCCAGAAGACCCTGAGCTCTATGTGTATCACAGGCCATGGCTCTCACCTCTCCACTCACCAGCCCTGAGGGAACAATGGCAATGCATGACCTTAGCGATGTTGTGCCTTCCTGCGACGAACACTCACCATTTACCTGAGGGCTGACTACATGCTGATTTGTTCCATGGTGCACTGCCCATGGGGCCCCATACATAAAAAGCCCTATGTATTCTGTGCCCATTTTCTGCCTGGAACTATGCTCTGAGATTTTTCTCTAAGTCTCATATAAACCTTGAAAAGGAAGGTGCCGTAAACACCATTTTATGATAAAATGGAGGCTCACAGGAGTTCATTTGTCTGCTAAGGCCACACGGGCAGAGCCAGAATTCAAGCCTAACGCGTCTGGTTCCCATGCCATTTCACACTCTTCCCTTTATACCTCAATGATTCTGAAAAAGACTTTCAACGGCAGGGTGGATGGAGGTCTGAAATGCGGAATCCACGGTCAGCCACAGTGGCAAAGTGGTAACACACCGCCCAGCGTAGCAGATTGCATATGAAAGATGAGGGCTCAGTTCTGGGTGGAACTATGCACAAAACAGGCCTGCCACACGTGTCCATGATCCTAGCTGGCTGGGAAGAATAGGGAGGATCATGGCACAAGATGCTATTGAGGCGCCTGTCTCCGTCTCTCTGTCTCTCACTCTCATAAAAGAACTAACAGGACCAGCAGTTAGCGTAATGGTTATGTCACTGGACTCCCATGTAGTCGACCGCAGTTCGCATCCTGGACCTGGTGGCTTAAAACTCACACCAGGCGCATGTGCATGTGTGCCCAAGATCCTGAGAGGAGAACGGAGGAGAAGGGATTGCGGTGATTTCTCGCTTTCTGTCTCTGTCTCTCTCTATCTGTCTGGCGAGCACACGTGCCCTATAGCAAAAACCTCTCCAAAAAATATAATAATAATAATAAATGAATGAAAATAAAAGAATTAACTTCAAAACAAAAAGAGAAAAGAAAATGAAACATGAAATGCACAGCCCTGACATCTCCTCTGACCAGCCGTGGAACCCCCACACTGTGCAGCAGACAACAGCAAACCCGCCTCCTTACCGTGGGCCGTTTCCAGATAACACCTTGGGTTTGGGGTGAGTGCGGTCCAAGATCCTTATAGCCCAGAGCTGATGGACAAGCTGGGAATTCTGGGTCTTTAAATAGGATCCCCGAGTCCAAGCACTGTTGCCTCAGGGCCTCAAAGTCTTGGCCCCGGTACTTCACAGCCTTCTGGTTAGAGCCAAGCCCTTCGGCGGCCGCCCGCTGCTTGGATACTCTGGCTGCCAGGGCTGCCATGGCATGGGATCTGTGCAGTGGGCAGGAGGGCAGGGAAGTTCTGTACTCTCAGACACCTGCCCCACTGGGAGGGGAAACTATAATGCAGCATGGAGGGAGGTGGAGCAGGTAAACACTTCACCTAAGGCCCTGCTCCAGAGGGCAGTGAGTCATGGCCAGGAACAAATATGTACCCAAAGTGCACAAGGTTCTGCCCCCGCTTCTCCTTCCGCCTCTTGAAAACAATTTACAAGCTGGGAATCTTCCAGGGCCTAACCCAGGCCATTAGCCTAAGAAATTCTACAGGATTGCGACCACCCTCTTCTCTGCAAGACCTGCCTTCCTTGCGTGGGGCCGTCAGCTGAGATGAGAGGGCTTGACATGCAGCTTGAGCGAGTATTTTCCAAGGAATTGGAGAAGTGGTTCTGAGCAGGAGGAGAACAAGTGGTTGGAGCAGTCTCCTTTCCTTCCGGAAAAATTGGGGACCATATTTTCTAGAAGGACAAAATATCAGCGAGGGGCGGTTCACAAAGCAGATTTGGAGCAAGCCCAACTGGCGGTTGTTCACCTGTAAATGAAGGTTCGGGCCCGTGACTGGTTCACATCCCAGTTCCACCAGCAATTAGCTTTGTCACCTTGGGCAAGTGATCTAACCTCTTTTCCCCCTTGATGTTCTCATCTGTAAAGTGGCAGATAATAATAGAACCTACCTCAGAGGGTTATTTGGAAGAGTGGGGAGACGATAACACATAATTTGCTTGGAATCGTCCATAGAAACATTTCATAAATGTCAGCTATCATTCTTTGGAGCTAGGACCAGGAACAGAAAACCTGGGAATCAGGAGTCTTAGTTCTAATCTGAGAAGTGGATTATGAGCCTGAGAGACCCTGGATTAGACACTTCTCTCTGGGCTGGCCCCAATTTCCTGTGCCTAAGGATGTAACCACTATATCAATGTCGTTGAACGTGGGTATGATGGCATGCTGGAAAATGGTCCCCCAAAGATACCAAGTCCTAACCTTTGGAACCTGTCAATGTCACCTTATTTGGGAAAAGAATCTTTGCATATGTAATTAAGGTAAATCTTTGAGATGGGGATATTATCCTGGCCCAAAATGCACAAATGTTCTCATAGCCTAGTGGTGAAGGGAGCCAGAGCTCACAGGACTACAGTTTGAATCCCTGACCCCGGCAGTCTGAAAAATCTGCCTCACATGTGTGTGCACACCCCAAATCCAGAGGGGATGGAGAAACGAAGGAGAAAGGATAGTGGTGTAACCACACCCTAGTGAGGGGGCTTCCTCCCTCTCCCTCTCTCTGTCTCTCGGGTGTGCACCCAGGCCCTCTGGCAATTCTTTTAATGATCTTCAAGGGCTCCTACTGGCATCGGAAGGACTTGGTGTGGCCCGTGCTCCCTTGTGGATCCTCCCTCCCCTCCCTTCACCATTAAGCTCATCTGGAGTTCACAGTTCTGTTTTCACCAATCCACAGAGTTGGCCTGCGGTCACTCGGGTGGCTCCATTCTCCCCTTAAACCAAAACCACGACTCCTTTCAGCCGGCACAGAATCCTCTCTAGACATGGGATTCCAGGAGAAACCCAGCAGCCCTGTGTGGGCGAGGAGAAATAAGTACTTGTATTTACTTTTGAATCTACGACCTCATAGCCGAAGCGTGTGACCACTGTCTGTGAGCAGTCCTACCTCTACCCAGAGCGGCCATTGCAGACACGAAGCTGACTGTGTCACTGTCCAGCTGAAAACCCCCAGTGGAAGCCCATTGCTCCTAGGAGAGGAACCAGAGGGATTTTTGCACGGCCCACAAGACCCTGAGCAGATGGGACTCAGGGACCACCTGAGTCTACCTCCCCACCTCATCTCTCACGCCTCTCTGCTCTCTCCTCCTGGCTCTCCCTTCATTCCTAGAATGTGCTGGTCTGTCTCACCTCAGTGCTTTGCACCTGCTGTGCCTTGAAATGCTCTTTTCCTGCCAGGCGTGGAAAAGAGGTCATTAGTTCATCAGCAAGGACCTCGTGTGCATGTTTTCCCCGGCTCTCGCTTCTCCCTATGCCCCCTGGGACATTGCCTTTAAATGGACTGCCCCGAGAAAGCCCTTCCTCCTCCACCCATTCACAGAAAAATCACAGCTGGTAAATTTCCTTCTCCTTTCCTTTCTCTGCCCCCCAGTTCCTGCTCTTCCTTCAGACCTGGGTGTCCCAGGATAGGCTTTTCAGCCCCCTCCCAGATTAGTACTTCCCCTCATGACCTCTCAACAGCCACAACCCCCTGCCCATCACAGATCCCTGTGATCACTCAGTGAGTGCCCCTCGGCCCCAGCAGGCTCTGATCCCACAAGAACAATTGTCTGTGTTTGCTTTGCTCGTTGGTGTACCGTGGATCCTAGAAAGCTCCTGGGACATGGGAGGGACTCAGTAAATATTTGTAGCGTGAATAAACAGCCACAGGTGTAAGATGTCCGGAGATGGATAAATGCACACCAGGCGTAATAGACCTAGCACCTTGGGCAGGCCATTAGTTCATCAGCAAGGCTCTCATGGGCGTGTTTTCCCTGGCTCTGTCTCCCCCATGCCTTGCTGAAACATTCCCTTTAGATGGACTGCAATGAGAAAGCCCTTCCTCCAACCACTCAGAATAAGCACAGCTGGTAATTTTCCTTCTCCACAAGGAAACACCTTTGGGGTTAGCAATCTTCTTCCCACCCCACTTGCCTAAATTACCTGACGCGCAGCCTCCAGATGCTGCTCCAACAAACCCCTCCCTCATCCAGGCAGGCGGGTCTGGGCCACTGCAAATAGAGCCCTCATTTGCCCAGTCACGAAAAGAACAGCGAGTGGAGGCGGGAGGCCACCTCGCACCAGCCCCTCATGAGCAGACAACAAGCGTCTACCTGTTCCCCAGCCGGGGGTCCAGGAGGAAGCAGCCTATGCCCGCTGTCTCTGTCACCTGGACAAACAAACACCTCTCCAGACTTACACTCAGACGCCCACAAGCCTGCATGTACTCCCTGCCAGGAAGCCACAAGACCCATTAGAGAAGAGGATGAGGCTGTGCAGGCACACGCCTGGTGGCACCTACGTCCTAAGGACACCTCTCTCGGCAAACAGCCCAGGTGAATGCTGCTCCCTTTTCTGTGCCCAGCAGCCAGAGCTTATACGCAAATGGCTCCTCCTTGGCTAGACGTATTGAGGCTGTATATCCCCTAAGCAAGGAAGATAAATCACCCCGGTTGCACCCAAGGGCCCAAGTGTGCTTTCCAGACAATTAAAGTTTGCAAAGCTTGTTGTCTTGCATAACCATAACTCTGGGGAAGCGATAGGTGTAAGCTGGCAGCAGAACTCCCTCCTGGGCCTTCCAATTTCGGAACGCGGAGGCAAGCAGGGGTTGAATCCAGTGTCGAGGGTATTACAGCGTTCTCACACGTTTCGAATGGGAATGTAAAATGGTGCAGCTGTTTTAGAAAGCAGTCTGCAGTTCCTCAAAATGCTAACGTGGACTTACACAGAAACTCTGAGGGACATTCTGCTTCAAGGAATTGAAAGAAAATTGAAAACACACATCCACATAAAAATGTGTACACAGATGCCCCTAGAAACATTATTCCTAGTCAAAAAAATGAGGGGATGGGACCAGCAGTTGGCGTAATGGCTATGCCGCTGGACTCCCATGTAGATGATCGCAGTTCAAGTCCCAGACCCAGTGGCTTAAACTCACGCCGGGCACGTGTGCGTGCATGCCCAAGAACCCGAGAGGAGAATGGAGGAGAAGGGATTGCGGCATGGCCATCCACCCTGGGGGGTGATTTCTCACTTTCTGTCTCTCTGTCTCTCTCTGTCTTTCTGGCGAGCACATGCACCCTATAGCAAAAACCTCTCCAAAAAAAAAGAAGAAGGGAAATGCCTATTAACAGATGAATAGATAAACAAAACATGGTTTATAAAAAAATGTGGTATATGCCTATGATGGAACAGTGTTCAGCCACAAAAAGGAATGACATACTGTTAAATGCTATGACAGAGAAGAACTGTGAAAACAGCATGCAAAGTAGAAGAAGTTACAGAAAGTCACACACCATCTGATCTCGGGCTGGCTGACACTGGTGGTGGACCATGGCATGGGGATCCTGTGGGGGGTATCTCTCTCTCTTTCTCTCTCTCTCTCTCTCTCTCAATTATGGAAGAAAAAATAAGACTGGGACCAGCAGTTAGTGTAATGGCTATGTCACTGGACTCCCATGTAGTCAACTGCAGTTCGAGTCCCGGACCCGGCAGCTTAAACTCACACAAGGCGTGTGTACATGCGTGTCCAAGATCCCGAGAGGAGAATGGAGGAGAAGGGACTGTGGCGTGACCATCCCCCTGGGGGGTTATTTCTCGCTTTCTGTCTCTCTATCTCTCTCTTTCTGGCGAGCGCACACGCCCTATAGCAAAATCCTCTCCAAAAAAGATAAAAAAGAAAAAATAAGGCTTAAAAAAAAAATAGATGGCTCACTTGCATGGCTGTTGACATTACCTGGGCTCCTTGGGTGTCTCCACATGTCAGCTGACTTCCTCCTGGGAGAGTGATCCAAAACCCAAAGAGGAAGCTACCCTTTGCGATCTCTTCTCTGAAGTTGCACACTGTCCCTGCTGATCTATTCTCTTCACAAGAAGCAAATTGCTATGTCCAGCCCACTTTCAAAGGGATGGAATTGGCCTCTACCTCCTAAGTGAGGAATATCAAAGAATTTGTGGGCCTTAGGACCACCAGATGGTGTAATGGTTACATCGCTGGACTCCCATATAGTCAACCGCGGTTCAAGTATGAGACCCAGTAGCTTAAAACTCACACCAGGCACGTGTGCATGAGTACCCAAAACCCCTAGAGGAGAATGAAAGAGAAGGGATTGGGATGTGGCCATCCCCCCTGGGGGTGAATTCCCGTTTTCTGTATCTCTGTCTCTCTGTATCTCTCTGGTGAGTGCATGCTCCCTGTAGCAAAAATCTCTCTTAAAAAATAAAAGGGG